ACTTAGTTCTTTCCCTGTTCCAGCACTGGTTCAGCTATTTCTCCAGGGACTTCTGTTCCTTTTAGTGGAGAATGGAATTTAGAAAACCAATCTGAGTGCTAGGTGTGCTTATTGCTACTGGGAGTCATTACTTCTAGGCCTTTTAAGGGAACAGAGCTAGTAAATATATTTTTGAGGAACTATGAGTTCCCAGAGTAGTTGATTCCCCCATGGACCAGCTTGGAGCCTGGAGTTCTCGAGGTGACCAGCAGCAGCCAAGAAAGAGAACTTATTCCTAGGAATGCCCAGGGCCAGAGAGCTTCACTAGTGAGCTCTGCAGTCCCTGGGTCAGGCCCACAGAGTGCTGCTAAACAGGTTCACCTGGAGTCCAGCTGCCTGGTCCAGTGGGAGGTGTTTAAATTAAAAGGCCAAAGCTTCTGGGACATAACACATTAACTGACTAAAGCAGGTGACAGGGTTGCCTATGATCTCAGTGTCCATTGAGGGACAGATCAGTTTGTTAAGCTAGCCTGTTGTCACCCCTCTGTTTACCCCTACCCCTTCCCCGACACACATCCATCCACCTTTACACCCCATGATGGGAACTTTGGCAGCTTTTATCAGTTTCCTTCCAAAATACTGATGGAATCTGTATTTTGTGATTACTCAGAAGTGCCAAATTCTTTATTAGATAAGGTGGTGTAAATATTCCCAGTCAATGGTCTGAGTGGTACAACAGATGAGGAATTGGGTCCCCTTGGTGTCCTGATGGCTTTTGCCTCTATTTTTTCTGGCTGTGGTTGCCCTGGCATGGGATTGCTGGGTGGGGGAGTAAGTATGTGCTCTCTTTAGTAGGCATACCAAACAGTGTCCCAAAGTGGATGCCACGTCACCCTCCCCAGCAATGTGTGAGAGGTTTAGTTGCTTTATATTCTTGGAATACTTAGTATTGTCAGCCTTTTCCATTTTAACTCTTCTTTGGGTAAATATGGGTATCTTGTTGCATTTTACTGGTGGGGCCGGATGTGAGCACTTTCTCAAGTATGTACCATTTGGATATTCTCTTTATGATGTCCATTGTGTGGGCATAAATTTATATATTTACTTTTTTTGTAGATAAATTATCCTATATAATAAAAGCATAATATGCAAATTGACCAAATGGCAGAACTACAGGTCGGCGGGGGGTGGGGCTGGCGAGCAGGTGGTGCCAGGCCCACCAAAGGGCGCATGCCAGTAGGCAGAGGGAGGGGATGGCGAAGGGGACGGCGATGGGGGGGCGGGGGGTGGCAACCAGCAGTGGGGCAATGGGAGCCGGCGCTATCCCCTGATTGCCTGCCCAGTCGCCTCCCCTAG